GTACCTACAAGTGGACATATGGGGCAATTAATTACTAATTGTGGGTGTAATCTGCTCCAGTGCAGAAAGCCAGCAAAAAGCATGTACACTGTTTAAATCCTCAAGACCTGTGGTTTCCTATAGTTTCTTTCTGCAAAATCATGAATTTCATTCTTTTTATATAAATGCCTATGTGTACACTAGAAGTTCTTGTGAACACTTGCATTTCTCGCTGGTAAATATTTCAGGCTGCCTTTAAAAATTGTAACCGCTATATCTAGAATCTATGGTTGTTGATCAAACAAATTATATATTTTACCATTTGTCTGAACTTGTCTGGTAACTCATTTCCCTCAGCTAAAGAGTACATTGAGAAAACAGAAAGGTTGTTCAGATTCCCATTCATGTCTTTTATTATGTTTCTTTAGTGTCATAAGTGATTTGGCTGCCATATTTTTTTTCTGATGTTATCTGGAACAGGGAAATTAAGTACTTGTGGGTATTAGGGTCATGTGGCCATGAGTGCTTATAAAAAGAATTCTGGATAGTTATCCACTGAAAAGGTATGTTCAAGGAATTTCAATGACTTTTTTGTGAAGGTTTTATCTTTGACCTTCAATATGACCGCTCAGAACAGTTTGTGTTCATAGCTGAGAAATAATACAGTTTCCAAATTATGTCTTAGCTTTTTTCGAAACAACCACAATTTGGTACCAGTGCTCAATGTGACTGTTTCCTGCAAATTGAACATCATAATTTTATTTTGCCTGGAACCTCGGCTGAGATACAGAAAACAAAAGGAATTGTTTTTTTTCTGTTCCATAGTACTTAGTTCACCTACAGAGTGAAGTAAACCTAACATCCATTAAAGAGCTCAAAGTTGTCCAAGAGACATTACTCCTCCTCTTAGAGTACACACAGACAAATGATGCTGCCGCTGCTAATCATTAGCAGGCAGATGGTAGGTGATCAAGATTTCATTATCAAACACCAATTTTCTTCTTAAGGTGAAAAGATGACCATCTGTTCTCTAACATTATACCTAGGGGAGCTTACAACACTGGGTTAGTTAGTTAAAAATATAATAAGAAACTTCCCTTAATTAATTTACTTGTTACATTCAAACTGGTTTATTCAAATTCTGTTAGCATTTCAAATGAAACAGAGGTGAAATTAATTATGTGGAATAATTCAAATGACACATCCTATATTATAAGCTATTGACTGAGCTTTATTTTGTTTATTCTCTGTTGCTATAGAAGGAACCATCTACAATTATATAAAAAAGACAAACATAAAAAGGGATTATATTAGTTTTAGTATCATATCATATATTAAAGTGTCATTTAATATAGTTGTTATAGTTTATAAAATAACTGAATTCTGGAGTTTTCCCCAATATGTTACTGATACTGATTACTGTTAGAAACAAGTATTTTTGTGAATGCTGTGGTAAATTAATAATTTAAGCCTTATTTTTCAAATACTCATAACAGATTTAAAAAAATCTCCATTTTAGCCTGAAATCTGTCATGTTTGGCAGCCCAAAGGTGACTGGTTTAGGAAAATATAAGAACATATTTTTTCTATGCTTGAGTTATACAGTATAAACATTGGGTTTTTTCCATGATGAAAAATAGAAGACCTTATTTGTATACAAATAACTTAAGAGTTGCTAAATTTTAAAACTTTAGAGATCCTTGGATGGTGGTCTTAGATCACAACCTATTTGTGCATCAGATTCTGTTCTCAGCTTGAATAAAATTTCACTTCTATATGCCAGGGAAGTGACAAATTTGACCTATATAAAAGAGAAACTTGGACTATTGTAGGAGTGAATTACTCAAGATGAGTAATAATCTGATGGAAGTTTGCAGAAAGAAATTTCTAAATTGTGTGACTTACAAACACATGCATTTTATAGTACAATAAAAATGGGCGTCTCACAAGCTTAGTAACTTAATCCTCCCCCCCTTCTAAGATTTTAGTTGATGTTGCACTACTGAATTGCTCCAATGTGTAAAATGAGTACGGAATTCTTCTGCTTTGAGAAATATCCCTGGAACACACAGATATTTGTTGTCAAATTCTTGGCTGCATGCAATTTTTGTGTATGCTGCTTATGTTGTTCTAAATGTCACATTTATTTGCATATGAAGATTTTGCACATGACGATTAGAAAACTCAGTATCGAAAGACTTCTGCAAATGTGATTAATGATCTATACCTATAAACCATCCGCTTTTCAGGGTATGTCCATCTATGGCAGTGATGGGCAACATGCAGCCCAAGGACAGCACGTGGTCAATCAGAATTCTGTGTGTGGCCTACGAGACTTTTTTGCTTATTTTTGCCCATTTGCAGGATTGCCAGATTTTGCTGGTTTCCATCCACATAGTCCCCTTCGCCCCATACACTGGCATTATTAAAGTGACATGCACATAAAGCAAGGGCACATGAAGTAAGGTTTGTGCTGCTTGCACTTAACATTGACTGTGAGAGCTATGTGCTCCCTCTGCATCCAATCAAAATGCCACCATAGTTCCATCAGCACACTCTGCAAATTCCAGGTTAGCAAAGCTATCCTATCCCAGGAGACTGTCTTGGTTATGGTAAGCTGGTGGTCCACTGAGACGGAGGGCCACTTGTGGCACTCTCTCTAGGCTAGGTTGCCCATTGCTGATGTTTGGGAGACCAGAGTAATGAACAAAAATGTACTGAATCAATACAATAAAGAGCAAAAGTTGCAGAGTTGCCAGAACAATTTTTATAATAAGGATGCTAAGAACCTTGACCCAAACCCCGTATATAAAGGAAATCACTTCAAGCCATGGGGTAAGTCAGCGTTCCTCCCTCCCTCCCCCCAACACCCTTAGTTCCAGGACCTATGCTTATCTGGGAACCTGGAATTACAACCACATCTGGATCCACTTCATGCTTATAAGTAAATGTAGACTATTTGATATCCACAGGAATTTATAGCTGAATGATATTTCAAATCAATATTGTTGCACCAGAAGTCAGCACAGCTCCCAATATGAAGAAATGTAGAGGATATGGTAGGAAAGAAAAGGTCAAGACACCATTCACAGTGTTGAATAGTTTATCTCAAGTTGGCAGTTGGGACTAATCTACTGCTCTTGGAGGGGCATTCTTTTGTGGGCCTGTACTCAAGATTTGTTTGTGTCAAAACCATTTCTTTGTCTTGTAGTAGATGAAACTGCTCTGATGGAGACCCATGCAATATTGATCAATGAAATAAGCACAGATACAGTTAATCATATTTGGTTAGTGACTAACAAATCTGTCAATGTGGGACTCTAGAAAATGACTCCGACCATTAATTTTTTTGTTGTGATTTTCCAGTGTCTGAGTCCAAAGTAAAGTTTGTTACATACTAGTTGCCTGAGGCAGTGCCTGGGGAGATGAAACTGAGATACAGAAAACACATGCCACATTAGCTTTGCCTCTTTGCCACATACTTTGGTTCTCTTGGTGTGTAAAACACTTAAGTGCAGTTTAGTATTAAGTACAACAATTAGACTCTATATGCACTGAGGTTACAATGCAGAAAAAAATATTAAACTTACAAGTGAATAGGAACAACCTGCAAACAGTGAAAGCCTCTTAATCTTAGTATATCATTTCTGATTACTTTTTTTTCCCTAAAAAACTAAGGATGAATGAACTGGTGTAGTTAAAATAAGAATAGGCCCTCTCACCCCAAAATCAAGTCAAACTTTTTTATGCAATCGAAGATGTTTAACTGAGGTCAATTTAGATAACAGAAGTACGTGAAGAAGAATTGGTGGTTAAAGTATGAGTTTTAGGTTTAGATACTGTAAGTTCATATCAATGTGTCCATATTCCATGAAGATGACGTTATTTGTTTCATAGTACTAATCTTTTGAAACATGTTTCATTCCATTATATTTCATATCATACACAATTAATTCAAGCAACAAACCTTTCTAAACTAAGCAAAGAGAGTGGAATACGTATCTTATTAAATTTGCAATTAATATTTCCCTGTAGAAACAATGTAAGAGGGTACAGACTGGGCTGTTAAACCGCTGTGTTCTCACAATGCCTTTTACATTTTTTATGTCAAGTTCTCACTCTCAGACGTTCACCTACAAATGTGTACCTTGTACTGTCCAGTTCTGTCATGGACAACACAAGCTCATGTGAATTCCATTATTTTATTGACTGGATTTGTGCACATCATTTTCTAGGATCTCAAATGGAGCTTCCCAAACACTTCAAATAAACGTGCACTAGTTTAGATAAATTAAAATTTAATTAGCTATAGAAAGAGAGATTTTAAGTGATTACAAGTAATCAGGCATTACTTGGGCTCTGAGGTGTCCGAGGCAGAACATCAGAAATGGCTGCCCGTCGCAGGGAGCCATAGCCTGTAATACCTCTGAGGCTGGTATAGGGGGCTCTGTCTGTGAGGTGGAGTGTTTTCCATATAAGGGCATGTAAATTAATAATCTTCCCCTGCTCGCTCCACCCATTGCAGTAACAGATCAGCCAGTGGGCTGACTGGTGCTCAGGCCTGCTACTCCACCCACTGCAGCAAAAACCAACCTATGGGGTGATAAGTTCACAGGCAATAAAACAGGCAGGCAGCCCCTCTCTCACTGGGGATTCGCATTGAGTGAACGCCTGGCCTGATCACCCAGACGCCTTGCACCCCCCGCTCTTGAGTCTTACTGAGCGTACTCCGAGTTGGTCGACCCGAGTGGAGACAGTTTATGAGCGTGTGACCGGTACTTGTGTTCCTGCTGTCTCCAGAACTGGTATAACACCCCCCCCTCACCATCATCCCTATCCTAATTGATTTTTTAGTTGTCCTTATTGCTTACCAAGTGACAGTGGCTAAAAAGTTACTAAGTTAGTTTATAAATACAGGCAGTCCCCGACTTACGTGGATCCGACTTACGTCGGATCCCTAGATACGAACGGGGTGAGGCAACTCCCGCACATGCGCAGCAGCATTCCCGGGGCTCGCTCACCTGGGTCCTAGGATCCTCCTCCTCCTCGGGCCGGCTCCGACTGGGGTCCCGCAGAGCTGCCGGGCAGAGGAAAAGTGCCTCCCCACGCCCGCTGCCCCCCCTGACCCCCCGGCCAGCAACAGGCTGCCCCCTCCCCTGAGCAACAGGCTGCCGAACAGCAGACAAAAGCAGCCTCTCGGCCCCCCCTCCCCCTATACAT